TCTAGTGGCCCGCCCTTGTCCACTTCTGCCCAGCTGGCAACAGCAAAGAGCTGCCGAAATCTCGCCCACTGCAAGCACGTCCGTTTCAGTCACGAAAATCCTAAAGCGCGCATAGAGTCACTTTTCCATCACTGAGAAAATCTACCTCATACGATGCACCTTGCACAGCTGATCTGCCCTTCGTCGTACCGGAGAGCTTGCCGTTTGCCAAACCGTTGAGCACCCTCGACAAATGCAGCTGTGTGTGCGACGATGAACAGGCGAGTCCGGCGACTGAGCCCACCATACCGAAAGCAACGTGGAGAGAGGAACTACATAGCAAACTTTTGCATTGCACTCCTACAACACCCTCTGCTGCTCCTGGGTTTCCTAACAATCGTACTTTATACCATACCGAAAAATAGACTAAATAATATAATATACAATGTCACTTCCCCTACAACCTACATCAGCTACGCACCAACTATGAAACTGAGAACATACTCTAACAAAGAAGAAAGCCACTAGAAAGGAAAACGGCCTGTCCGACCCCAATTCTCTCTTGCTATCTGATCAACCTCTAGCATGCCAACGTCTCTCTCAGGGCTTCCACAGTGTGGTGGTTTCGAACACCAGGGAGGTGACGACGTACGGGTCCATGTTGGACGCCGGGCGGCGGTCCTCCATGTACCCCTTCTTCTTCGCCTCCGTGTCTCTTCCGATCCGCACGGAGGTTCCGCGGCTCGCCACCGCCCACGAGAACTTGTCCATGCTGGCCGTCTCGTGGCGACCCGTCAGCCGCCTCTCRTTGCCCTYSCCGTAGGCCTTGATGTGCTCCTKGTGCCTCAGCTCCAGGTTCGTTACGGCCTGCATGATCACCTCCCACCCACCGTCCTCCCTCATCGCCTTGGTGCTGAAGTTGCAGTGGCACCCGGCACCGTTCCAGTCACCCTCCACGGGCTTCGGGTCCAAGGACAGAATCACCCCTTCCAGCTCGGTTATCCGCTCCAGCAAGTAGCGCGCCACCCACAGCTGGTCGCCTGCCTCGATGCCGATGGCCGGCCCCACCTGGAACTCCCACTGCCCGGGCATCACCTCGCCGTTGGTCCCGCTGATCTTGATGCCCGCATACACGCACGCCTTGTAGTGAGCGTCCACGATGCGCCTCCCCCACGCCTTGTCCGCCCCCACGCCGCAGTAGTACGGCCCCTGCGCGCCGGGGTAGCCGTTGACGGGCCAGCCGAGCGGCCACTTGTGCTCCTTCTCCAGCAGCGTGTACTCCTGCTCCAGACCGAACCAGGGCTCGGCGTCCAGCGCCTGCTCGAACAGCTTGTTGGCAGCGTAGCGAGTGTTGGTGGGAATGGGTTCTCCCTGAGGAGTGTAGCAGTCGCACATCACCAGGATGTTGTCCCCGCCGCGGAAGGGGTCTCTGAAGATGGCTTGGGGATAGAGGATGACCTCGCTATCCTCGCCCGGAGCCTGGCCCGTGCTGGAGCCATCGTAGTTCCACTTGGGGAGCTCAGACACGGACTTCACGGGGCCGGGCAGAGTGCGGGGCTTGCTGCGAATGTCCAGCCCGCTCCCACCCACCCAGATGTACTCCGCGATGATGCGCTTCTCGTCCGCCGGCATCGTCAGCCTCAGCAAGTCGTCAACAGTGCCCGCCATGTTCGCGATCTCCCTCGTCGTCCTGCGGTCTTCTCTCCTTGTTCCGCTCTCGTGAGCTTGAAGCGGCAACGAGGGGACGCTCACAACGGCGCCGATGAGGCAATCCACTTCTCGCCGGCTCTCCCCCAGATGCTACCCTAGTTCTCGATCTGAGCGAAAGACTACTGCACTGATGATCAACGTGGTGCGTCACCTGCCTTTATAAATAGCAACCGGCAGAGAAGCTGTTAAGGAACACAGCAAGGGCACGGGCGCAGATGATGATTGGCGATGCCCTTCCGCGGGGATGAATGGAAGCCTTGAGTTAAGAGTATACTCACACTAGGGCGTTATAATAGCAGAATCGCAAAATCAAAGGCCAGAAGATGGCCACTGATTATGCCTTTCTGCATTTTTAAGCGCCTACCTGTGAGTATGTCTTTCAAAAAAAAAAAAAAAAAAAAAGAGGCAAAAACGAAGCCTTGGAATGACAAGAGGCTGAGTCTGTCGAGTTTGCTTCGGCATTTGCGTCGGGGCACAAGGCGAGCTCTGCCGCTCATTACCTCCATCCCTCCTATTTGCACGTTAATGGGTGGAGCTGCCAATGTTCCACGTGCCGGGACACGTCATTCAGTGGCTCGACATCTTTATTGCTGATACGGAGGAGACTTCAACTTTGTTTGTCTTCATTCTTTCTGAAAAAACGGAAAGACTTCGACCTACAGCCTTTTTTATTCTTTTCCGTTTTTTTCAGAACGCCCACGTTGTTGTAGAGGTTGGATTCTATGCCAAAAAAAAAAAAAAAAAAAAGAAGGTTGGATTCTACACGTACGACAGTCACCTTTCAGTATTCAGCTTCGACCTTGTATCATCCCCGGAACAGTCCAATTATATTGTTGTTGTTGTTGTCGTTCTGTTGTTCAAGATTTTTTTTTTTTTTTTTTTTTTTTTTTTTTTTTTCTTTTTTTTTCTTTTTGGTTCAAGATTCCCCCTCCCCCCCCCTCAATTATGTTGTCCTGGAGGTACGACGAGAAGCTAAGGGCCTCGCCACACGACTCTCGAAATGGGGAAAAGACAAAAATGTGGCGGGCGCATCTGGCCATGTTTTAGCGCGAAGTTCGTTCTCATTTTACACATTTCGAGAGTGGTGTAGCGATGCCCATCTTCAGTTGAGAAAAGTGCGTGCCTGTCGAGAAAAGTGCCATGCTACCACGTTGGTAGTGTGAGCATGCGCTTAGCAGCTGTCCCTGAGACTTCGATTAGGGCATACTCAGACGAGCACTTTCCTACATACATCTGACTGGAACCACGGATAGACTGGATGAATCTGACCGCTATCACGTCCAGAGCTTAGTAGAAAAGGTCCTAGCTTGAGTACGCCCTCACCTGGTCCTAGCTTGAGTACGCCCTCTCCTCGTCACAGGGACGCGAAAGACGGGCTTGGCTGTGCCCTCGTCTGTCTCGGATCGCACTCCCTGCTTATGCCTGAGGTCTGAGTTCCAGGCGTTGCAGGAAACGGATGGTGTCCAGGCCTCCCGCACTATTCCCCTGGGAAAAGAAAAAAAACAAAAAAGAAAAACCATAGAGCATAAGCATCGGAATGAAGACTCTACGGTCCTCTGTGTGCGTTGGGCCTTGTTCTGTTTTTCTTCTTTTTTCTTGTGTGTGTGTGTGTGTGAGTGTGTGTGAGTGTGTGTGTGCGTTTGTGTGTGTGTGTGTGTGTTTCGCCTGATTGACAAATTGTCGTTCTCCTGAAGCCTCTGCTTCCTCCTACCACCGCGTAAGATGACAATCGTCGAGCCAGTCTTTCCTTTTTTTTTTCTTTTTTTTTTCTGTTTTGGTTACAGGGAGTAGCCCCTAAATTACCCTAACCTTTATTGTAACCTCCTGACTGATTCCAGCAGAACTGTTGTTGATAAAGAACTAATGAATTCCGATTCGTGTATTTTTTGAACAGAACAGTGACATGGTCTGCCATAGAGTGAGCTGGGGGTCGAGCTCCTTGTGGCCAACACCTGTTTTCGGACAGGTCAGGCAGAGTACCGCCCCTTCATCTGATGGAAAGTCGTCGTGAACGCATGAGGGATTAGGCGTAGAGATGGTGGGACGGCTTTCAACAGCACCCGAAAGCCGCACGAGGTCATTCTTCCGGATGACGAAACGGCGGACGTCTTCTTCGGCCTTTCGGCCACGGTCTGACTCACCTGACTGCTCCATCTCTGGCCGTCGATTTGTGCAATCTGAGGCCAGAGATGATGAATCCGTGACCGTCGGCCCTGAGGAGTCCTGAGAAGACACTTCCTACATACACAACAGTCGCTTCGAGGAGTATTATTAGTATCGTTGGGACTGTTGGTGTCCGCACCGTCTCCCGTAGATCGGGCCTAGCTTCAGCTTTAATTCATTGGCTCTTTGAATAATTGATCCTTTCCCACCAGAGCCTGCGAGAGAAATTGCTGACCCAAAAAAAAATAAAAAATTGCTGACCTGTTCGACTGGCCTTGTTCTTCTTTATTTTTTCAAGGGGGCCAAATGTCGGGTAGTCTGAAAATGAAAATTAGGGTGGTGCGCAAAGATCTGAACTGAAATCCTGCTCCCGCGGCCTAGCTCAGTCGGTAATGCACGCAAGTGGCATTCAGGACGTCTTAGGTTCAATTCCCATTGACCTCATGTACCTTCCTTGGCATGCTTGGCGCCCGCCACCTAGAGATAGCCCTTTGGTCCCCCCGACGGGCATTAAAAAAGCAGTCCCTGCTGATGTTCATAGGGGGAGGGGTAATCGGGGAGGCACAGCGACTGGCCACTCAGATGATGCTAGGTCCCTCTGCTACCCGCTGTCCCCTGGCAGGTGTTCCCCCCCCCAAATGGGGGTTCCCTGAAGGCAATAAATAAAGGCCTGACACAAGATTGAATTTACCTGGGCTGGTTAGTCCGATGATAATACCTCAAGGCCATCGCCAAGTTAAAAAAGAAAAAAATGAAAAATGAAAAGAACTGACATCCTGTGGTCCTGGAAACTTCGAGCTTTGCGCACGATCAGTTCGTGCTAGGTTGGCACCCCACAAGCTTGTCCCCCAGCCTAGAACAGCGCATAGACAGATCAATTGACGGAGTAGCTCAGTGACATGAGCTAGGGTGTCGCGTGGGAGACGTTCAGGGTTCTTTTCGCATCGGATTCGCCCTTTGCACGGATACAGCTGGGGTGCAGGCACGGATGAGCCTGGTAGGCCTAACATAGTGCGGATATAGCTGCGGTGGAGGCAAGGATGGGCCTGGTAGGCCTAGTGGCGTGGGAATTGGTTGGTTAGTGCGAGCCAAGTTGATGCCAGAAGGTTTAGGAGCCGAGTGTGGCCCTGGATCAGCTGATTACCAAGGCTGGAGCTGCTTTGGGTGATAATAAGACAGAACTACAAGGACTGGAGGGGTCTGTGACGCTCAACCTCACGCCCTGTGCTGTCTTCCGGTCGGGGTGATAAGTTTTGCGGAAAAGGCCCTGAAAGACAGTAGAATTGTGACGAACTGTTTTCTGCAGCGATTTTCTGCGCAGGGCAACTTCCGGGGAGGAAACGGGTTGAGTCGAGATGGCCTGGCGGATTGCGTGGGTGCCCTTGCTTTTCAGAATCGTGGCCGGGGTAATCTTGTGACGGTTGGTAGCAGACCGTGCCTTCCCAAGCGCAAAAGATAACTGTTGTCATAGCTTCTTTCTTGTTCTGCTGGGGGAGGAAATGAGAATTTTGGCGCGATCGTCGCGCGGGAAAATCTTTTTGAATTTCTAACTGGTGTCGAGCCCCCGTGGGCCCTTGGAATTTGCTTCATTCGAAATTTCTTTTGCCAATTAGGATTTAGATTAGGAATTAGGCACATCTCAATTTCTGCTGCATGGCGCTTCCTGCTTGCGCACGCTTTGCCGCGTCAAGATTTGTGCTCTGACTTTTCCGCGCCTTAATCCCTGAGTGTAACTGTAATTCTTGTTTTGGCGGGCATTATTGGAACTGTAATCCTCTCGTTCTTGATATTCTTTGTAACGCCCCTGTGCCCGCGTACGTCTCCCTCTGTCCTATTGGCCTGAACACTTGCATGATCGGATTGATGTGTGGAGTGAGGCTACGCCCCCCACGCCGCGGCCTGACCATGCGGTCGTAGGCACTTCCTTCCTTCTTCTTCCTCCTACTCGGACACAATCCCAGGTATCACACCACACAAATGCATGCTATAATTTTGCAGCCGCGATTAACTCGCTCTCTAATAATTTTGGAGTTAGCGTGGTCAAGACGATCGCCTAACAGGCAGGAGTTGGAAGGTGAGTAGGGGGTTGGGCGATCCGACGAGCTGGTGCTGGGCATGCGGGGTTGATGTGGGGCCGTGACGGACTGTGGTGCACAGGCGAACCTGACTTGCATGCTCGGACTAAGTGGGTGACAACTCTGTGTGGGTGCGAGGCAACGGACTTCCCGCATCGGGATGTTATGAAGATATATATATATATATATATATATGTATATATATATATATATATATATATATATAGAGAGAGAGAGAGAGAGAGACAGAGAGAGAGAGA